AGGTTCAGAAAGGACCCCCCCCCCTTGATTTCTGAACTCCTCAGAGAGGAGCCTAGGTGCAGCTGGATCCAATCCTAGTTCTAGACTTGGTCAACAGCTTATGTTTAAAGGATTATATATGCACAATCAATCCTTTACATAACTTAGCTATGATTTCACAGTTTAGCATGCTATTAATCACTTTCTGAGAATCTGTTGCAGCAAGCAATCTCTCGACCTTGAGGAATAACCTTGAGACGCATCCCTGCTCAAGGGGAGATCCTGGTGTGCAGCCCGCTGCCATGCAGGAGATCTTGACGAGCCCTGGGCTCTTCACTATTTATGGAGTAAAATGATTGACATGTAGTCATATTTGCATACTAGCTGTATTTCTGTTAGTGCACTCAGCCCTCAGCTGCTGAGCAAGACAGCCTGGGCTATTGTGCTGTTATTCGTCTCCCCCAAATCTACTCTGAGCCAGATGCAGGCATCATGACCAGACATATCCTTTGTGGCCACCACTGGAGGTTATCGCTTGAACAGGGTTGCGGGAGATAGAGGTCAGGTTGGGGGGGCGGGGAGCACACCGTCATGCTGGTTCACAACTAGAAGACATTACTATAAAATACTCTAAACTGAATTTACTGAAGAATGAAATAATAATCTAACATTGTAATTTGCCAGTTACCTTTTTAAAGTTATCAAGAACACCAAGAAATTGGGTAGTCCTTTCCTGTCTGAAGACACATTTAACTACATCCCATGTCATCCTATTTTCAAGAGGATTTCACTGATTTTGAAAATTCTTTAGGCAATCTTAGTGCTTCCCACAATTACCTGTTAGAAGATCTCAATAATAGCAACTAAGTTTCTGTTCAATATGGTCTTACCTTTTACATTAAGAAATTATGTGAAGGCATTCTCATAACATTAATGAACTATTATGGTTAATTTAATGTGCTATGCTGAGAGAGTGTCAGGGATTGAAGAAGTTAACATTTGTTTCTATATCTGTTCTTTAATCTGAAAAATGTATCTTGTTAAGCAGGTGGCCTTCCTTCAGGGCTTCCACCTATTACATCCATTAGCCCTTGTTTAAAAGGTACTTGCGTACTGCATTTACATACAAGTTGTTCAATTTGGGGAGCAAGACCTGGTTGCAAACAGCTATTCCCTAAAAAAAGTACCATTGTGGTATCTTCTGATACCATTTTCATCATGTTCACTAGATACACAAATTTGTAAAAAATCTCCAACCTTACTATGAAACAAGAAGCAGTTTACAAATCAAGCTGCTGCTTTTAGAAGAAAAAGTAAAGCTCAAAAAGAAAAGCTAGCCTCAGTGGTTTTAAGCTATTTTACAAAACTTAACTGTGATGGGTTGACTCAGGCTGGATGCCAGGTGCACACCAAAGCTGCTCTGTCACTTCCCTCCTCAGCTGGACAGGGGAGAGAAAATACAATGAAAGGCTCATGGGTTGAGATAAGGACAGGAAGAGATCACTCAGCAATTACTGTCATAGGCAAAACGGACTTGACTTGGGGAAATTAGTTTAATTTATTACCAGTCAAAGCAGAGTAGAATAACAAGAAATCAAACCTTAAAAAGACCTTCCCCCCACCCCTCCCTTCTTTCCGGGCTCAACTCTGTTCCCAGTTTCTCTACCTCCTCCCCCTGAAGTGGTGCAGGGGGACAGGAATGCGGTCAGTCCATCCCATGTTGTCTCTGCCACTCCTTCCTCTTCAGGTGGAGGACTC